GCTGGGGCTGTGCTGGTGCCAGGTTGAACGTGGACCAACAATGCAGTAACCGTGAATAAGGCAAGCCATGTACTGAGCTACGTCAGGAACGCGGCCAGCAGATCAGGGAACGCTGCTGTTCTCCTGTACTTCGTGCTGGTGAGGCCATACCTGGACTTCGATACCCAGTTATCGTGGTTCTCCCCCTCCCACCGCTCCCCTTTCTCTCTCAGGAGGGATGCTGAGGAACTGGGAAGTGTCAGGGGCCTGCAGCACACAGTATGAGAAGAGATATTGAAGTAACTGGATTTGTTTAGTCTCAAGAAGGGGAAAAATACAGGGTGACCTAGAGGCAGCCTGTTGCCTGAAGGGCAGTTACCAAGATGGCAGAGCTGGATTTGTGGTGGTAGTCGTAGACAGAGTAACAAGGGGCAACAGCCACAGATTGCAGTTTGAGAGGGTCACAGTGGAGGTTAGGAAAAATGGCCCCGACTAAGAGGGAACTGTAGTACAGTGTAGAGCTTGAGCAATCTCCTTCCCCAGAAGTTTTCAAGACTCAGCTGGGCCTAGCTGCAGTTGACCTGATCTAGTACTGGTGATAATCCAGCTTTGGGAGGAGCTGGGTGGGAGGTTGAACTAGATGATTTCCAAAGGTCCCTTCCAACCGACGTTTAGATGATTCAGTGAGATGCACGCTGTCTTGAAAAGTAGGTTTTTTACTTCTGTATACCACAAAGTTTTCACACAGACCTTGTAAAGCAAAATATTTTTCATTAACAGAGCACCTATAAACTTGAGAATAACTGTCACACAACTGGGACTAGATTTAGAAGATGAGCTGTGAATAGTTATGGCTGTAAACACATTAATACGTCTTCTGTTTTCAGCTTACAAAATTGTAAAAGCATCGCATGTTCTGTGAAATCCTTTTCTTAAATGATTAAGCTTTTTGAGAAATTGAGATGTTTGCATACAAAATTGTCATTGAAAAAATAAACAGTGTGCCTCTCTGTGCGGTGTTGTTGGTTTATTGATGTTATGTGGTTGGTGCTCTGAACTTTTTAATTGGGGTGTGTCTAAAACTGTCTTGGCCTAAGCAGACTTGCATACAGCTCATGCGGAGTACCAGGTATATGTAACCTGATTGTAGGCCGAAGTCACTTCAGAGCCGCTATGGGAAGATGCCTAACATGTTCAAACAAATGAACCCTCTCAAAGTGCAACCTTTTTTATTTTCTTAGTTTAGTTCTTCCCATTGAAGCTGTGCCTGCAATACAGCAAAGGGTACAGGATTCTTGGTGTATGATAATAATCCATAATACAAAGCAACATTGTGGGGAAGGCTGCTGTGTGATCGTGTAAGTTTGTATCATAGGTGCATTCCCATGGTGACTGATTTTTGATCTGGTCTTTCTCTGTACAATCGTTAAACACTGTGATTTGCATTTTTACATTTCCCTAGATTGAGAGTATTTTTCCCTAGAGTATGTTTTTCAGTTTTCTAGCACGTGGGACCACACCAGCAGCTTCTCAATGTGGTCTGGAGCTTTGACTCTTTTACCATGTGAGCTAGTAAAGTAGCAGATCACAACAGTAGATACTCTTTGTGAAGCAGTCACAAGGTGGGGAGTGAGATGTATTCTTAGGGCAGTAAATTCTCAGTGTCTTTAGCTGTAATCGGGAAATGGGTGCAGGAGCGGGTCACTAGCTTCCAGGTCTGCAGAATGGCTTAACCTAATAGGCATTGCTAATGCTGAGGCTTTGATTTATCATCTGTGTTTCCAGTCCAGTGGGCTGTGGGGATCTGGCAGTTCGTAGAAGTGTTATGTTGGGGTAACTTCTTTATAAGCTAAGGTGTGCCTTCACTTACAGTGATAATTCAGTAATTTATTGTTAAGTGTTTTTCAAAATAACCACCTTGTGTTCTATCAGTATGATGTTACTTATGTTGTCGTTACCAGTGTGATGTTACTTATGGTAGTATTTGCATTCATCTGAAATGCATGCATTTCTCTAAGAAATTCAACAGAATGTTCAACAGGAGAGCTTTCTTCTTGGTGCGTCACCATGCTAAATAAATACACTGTTAGGCTTTCTCTTTTGTTATGAACCTGAAACTTGTTGAAATTTTCTTATGTTTGATTAACAGGTAATGCTTTGCCACAAGACATTACATGTTTGGCGGCAGATCGCATGTTGATATTTGCTTCATACGACAATATTCTCCATGCTTTCGCCAGGAACAAAGAGGTTTTTATTAGTTTATTTATTACTTAGTAGTACAAAACAGTTGTGTAGTGTTTGTGTTTTCACGACAGTTAATTTTCTACAAACGTCTATTTCCCTAGATGTTTAGTACCTTCAATTTTAGGGAGATAAAAACTGTAGAAGGAGGAACAAAAAGCTTAAGATAGGAGAATATAAGAGCAAATTCTGTAATGGCTGACTTGTATTTTATGTATTAATTATAATAATTAAGTAGCTACTTAAAGATAAAAAATAAACTGTTAATTCACATAAATTAAATGAATTAAAATTAAACTAAATAATTAAAAATATTTTGCCAACAGTTTTAGTTATCAGAGAAAATTATGTCTCTTCCACTTAAAGTTGTGTGGCCTTTCCATGTATTTTATTTAACCTTGTTGCTGACATGTGTCCTCAGGTATTATGTTAACACGGTATGCTGCCTTAACAGCTTATATTGAAAACATTTCTATTTTGAAATTATAGGTGGTTCATTCCTATGAAGGTCACAAGGCAAGGATACACCTTCTGCAGCCTTTTGGTGATCATGTCATCTCTGTGGATGTTGATAATGTTCTTATTGTTTGGAATATACAGTCAGAAGGTGAGAGGTACTTTATTGTTTTTACTACTTTATAGGACAGCATTGTTAAACATTCAGTAATTTTTAAAAAAGTTTTTTTTAAATGCACATGTTCAGAAGTAGTTTATTCTTAAAAAAGAAAAAAAAAATCCTTAAATCAGAGTGCTACTTAAATGGTAATCTGAAGTCCTAATCCTGCAATAATTTTTCGTGAATGGATCCTGCACCACATGCAGAGACGCAATAAGGTTCCATATAGGTGTAAAGAGATACGCTTATACAGAAATTGCATTTTAGTGTCCCATTTTGTGGTAAAGAGTGTGGTACAGCAGCTTTGACACCATCTCTGAAATCCTGTAGTTCCTTGATATTTACCACTCTGGGTAAGACTAAATTCTTACAAATAATCTTTTGATGGTGTCAGCATCTTCTCGTGCCATTGTAAAGTGCCTTATGAAATCCTGCTTCAGTGCCCTGAATTTTTTTCTCTAGAAAGCATTCTCCTTCGTGTGACCAGTGTCATTCCGTGGATGCTGGGTCTTGAAAGTGGCTGCGGGCAGGCTTTAAAGATTTGAAGTTGATATAACAAACAAAAGGCATGCTAATCAGATGAGGTGTTTTGCTCAGGCAGGAGCAGGAATCCTTCAGAAAGATATAAATCACTACAGTTTTGCCAGCATTGTTGTGCTAGTTAGGCTTATAGGGAAAAAATATACCTTCAAGCCAACAGATTTTATAACGTAAACAAGTTTAGCCTGTCCTGTTACACATTAGCTAATCCTTTAATGCAAGAAACACCAATTAAGGGATTTGTACAGAGTAAACATCACTTCTGCCTTTACATTTGCCAAGGGATGATAAGCCTGCAGATTTGTAGGGGTAGCCACACTAACATTGTTTCTTACTTTTTTGCAGAGGAGTATCTTCAGGTGGATTTTGATAAGGCTACTTTTGCAGTTTCTGCAATTCTGCATCCCAGCACCTATTTGAATAAAATTCTCCTTGGGAGTGAACAAGGGAGCTTGCAGCTATGGAATATAAGATCCAAGTAAGATTCTTAATAACGTGGGTGTACTTCATGCTCCAAGTAGTTTCGTATGCAACAAACAGTACTTTTAAGTACAGTAGGTTTTGAACATGGAATCTTCTACTGAGTCCTTTGGCACAAGTTTTCAGTTGGTCTGTCTCCAGGAACAAAGAATGCTGCTGCTCCCCGCATGCTGATGCCTTGCAAGTTGCATGCTGTTTATGCTCCGTGCAAAATGTCAGGGATTGTTCCAGAATCTTTTTATTACTTTTTTTTTTTAATTATTATTTCTTGGAATTACATAGCTTTCCCCTGAAAATAATTAAAATAGTAGTAAATGCGTGTTCAGGCCTTCTGCCTCCCTTCTTCCAAGCTTAATTTTTTGGTTGTTGTGGGTCCAAGGAAATGCTGGCAGGTAGTGTGGAGGTAATTACTAGCATTTGATCCTTATATTCAGATAAGAGATGTGTAGCATGTAGTTATCTCTGAGCATGTCCCAGAGCATTGTCCATAATGGCATTATTTCATGCCTATCACGATCAGCTGCTTTTCTAACTCGTCAAAGTTAGAGCTACAGTGAACTTCCCTGCATGTTAATGTACATACTGCAAGTAGGTGTTAACTCAGCTTGCATACTTCAGTTTTATTCTCATAACTACTCTATACTTCCAGTGATATCACTGCTAAGTTTTCTGTTTTGTATTCTAATGTTTTGGAGATGCTGTATATGCTATATAAATTAGGAAATAGGAATAACCTGAAAATACAGAAAAGTAAATCTGTCTGCTCATAGTACTTTTATGTCTCTTCAATGCCTGTCACAGCATCTGAGATGCAATACATCCTAGATAACAAAAGGTCTTCTTAGATGGCTTAGTGTCTTTTTTAATTGTGTAAAAACTTATGGAACTGTTACTGCTTTTTTAGCAATATTGCTGGGTTAAGCTATTTCTATTTTTGACTGCTTCTTCCCTATACAGATTATTTTGTAGATAGGTATAGGCACAATTAGACAAAAAAAATAAATTGGAAGAACTGATGGGAAAGTTTGATGGTCTCTGCCAAGAAAGGAAAGTGAGAGGCAGTAACACATGGCTGCTAGCAATCTTTTAAGAATGACAATGTGTATCTGTGGTGATGGAATAGTTTTTTAATCATGTCTGTTCTTAAAAACTGTCTTCATAATTTCACCCTTAATAAGTACTGCATGACTGCCTTGTCAGTGAACAGTCCTGCTGCACATTTTGGCTATTACCGTTTCTGAAAGAAACAAGATGTCATGTGCTTGCAATATGCGTTAGTGTCTTCATTTAGGGAAGTTAATCTGCACATGAAGGATTTGTTTTTGTTAGAAGTTGGACCAAGATTGGCTTTTTATGTTGATTTTGAGAATTCTGAAGAGGTGTGTTCAGAACAGAAATGCATGGGGAGCAACTAGCATAGAAGGGGTCTTGCTCCTTATTCATGTTATGTAATTATGTCACCTTTGAGGTATTAATGCATGACACTAACTTTTTCAATAAAAAATTAACAATAAGTTTTATTCTTGATGTTACTTATTAGTATCACAGGTTTTTTTTTTCCTTTTAACTGATTCATAAGGACAGAAGGCTGAGGTACTTTTCTGTGTAAGTGCATATAAAGCATCCATTTTGGTGTGGAAAATCCCCAGGGGTTAATTGATTTATGTTTTTTGTTTGTTTGTTTTCCAGCAAGCTCTTATACTCATTTCCAGGATGGAAATTAGCAGTCACAACTCTTGAACAAGTTAGTAGTTTTGGTATCTTATTTCCTTACATAACTGGTGAAGAATAGCAGGCAAAATATCGTTGTTTAAAATTACAGCAATAAAGATGATTTGTATTCTTTCAGGTAATTTTAAAAACCCTCTCTTGAGCATTTTAGACATTGAAGAGAGGTAGACTTGAAGGCTTATTATCTGCCCTTCCTCTAGTCCTAGTTCTGTTGCATTTAGTGTCTCAGCTGTTTTGTGTTCATCACGTCTGTAGTCTTTATTCACTGAATGATGTAATGAGTTCACAGAAACAGTTTGCAAGATGCATGTGTATCATGTAACTTCTGATACACTGGTAGCTTTTTGCTAAATTTATTTTGCTTTGGAAGTTAGTAAAATGTAGATTTTGCTGATTCAAGAAAAGATTTTGTAATTGTATTGGCTGTATTTTTGTAGATATGAAAAATAATTAAAACTTATTGGTAGCATTGATGACGGCTTTGAAAATGGTCTGCAGTTGTCCTGGATAAAACTGCTAAATATGGGGAGGTGTGGCAGGGTGTATAATGGTCTAACCGAACTACTGAAAACTTACTGAGGTGTTTTTCAAAGGAGTTCCAGCTTCTGGAAACAGAATTGTTTCATCCAATGGAGACTAAGTGCAAAATCTTGCATGTCTCATTTTTTGTTTAGATTTATCAGATGTTCAGTTGTGCGTTAAGGCAATATAGATAGAAGATCTCATGTGAGATGCCTTATTTGTTTCCTTACTGTTTGTCCTCGACTTAGATATGTTGTCTTGTACGTATTGGTATTAGTAGTGTAGCAACAAGCTTTTCCTTTTTCATTTCCATTGCTTTTCAATTTTTCTTGCAGGCTCCAGCAGTGGATGTTGTTGCAGTCGGTCTTGTATCTGGACATATCATTGTACATAATATTAAGTTTGATGAAACTCTGATGAAATTTCAACAAGACTGGGGTCCCATCACAGCAATATCTTTTCGTACAGGTAAGTCTTAGCATTTTTAGTGAAAATACATATAAAAATCACTAAATCTAAGTGGAATGTAGGAAAATATGTTTTGATAAAGCATTTCAGAATAAAAATTTGGGCTGAGAATTTTAGTTTTCAAAGGCTGCAGATAATCTACAAGAGCTACCAATAAGTAAGGGAGATCATGCATCTTCATCATACTGGCTGTTTATAGCGTTTTCTTGTGTTTCCTGTGCACTGACACAGTGCACAGGAAGTGTGACATATAGTACTCCTTTTTCAAAGAAAAGAAAAGTAAGACAGTTTGTTTCCAATGTGCCAAGAGCTAACACAGTACACAGTTACCAGAGTTAGTACAGAGGAATCAGTACACTGTAAGTTAGTATCCAAACCTACTTCTCAGTAGTGTCTTCCCCCTCCAAAACAAAGTTAGAATGTTAATAGTTGGGTGACTACTGAGTAGATGTTACTGGGGAACACTGTTTATATTCACAGCTTTTTTTTTTTGGTCTAATGAGCATGTATTAATTACTAAAGCTAGCTACTATAATGTTGATCCTGCCTGCAGAGCTGTTGATACTGAATCTAGTCTCTCACTTGAATAGACAAACTTGAAAATCTTAACAGAATATAGATTGATGCAGACCCTGTTGAGGAAGAATGCTTCTAGAGAGACTTGTGGAAAGACTTGTGAGAA